TGAAACGTTCCAAGAGAAATGGAAGAGTTTTTGAGTTAAATGTGAAAATTAATTGGATTTAAATATTGAAGTTGAAACGTACCAAGAGAAAGGGAAAAGTTTTTGAGTTAAATGTAAACATTAATTTGCAAAATTACTAAGAAAAAAAAATCAAAATGTGGAAAAAAGAGAAAAATAGGATCTTTGCGTCGAGAAGATGCCACGTCAACCTATCATGATTTTGCTTTATAGATATATATAGATTTAATAACGAAATAATTTATTCTTGATTTAATAATATAATATTTTATAAAGATAATAATTAAGTATTCTTTTAGAACTCAATGATTATTCTAATTATATTTTAGATTTTTTATATTTAAAATGAGATGTTTACTGTATTTGATTATGTTTATCTGCAGTTAGTTACACGAATTCAGATATGGAGCTTTAATAAGTTATACTTACGCACAATCTACTTGCAATATTGAGTTTTAAGTAATATGCATTAATAAACAGTACTTTAAATTTATGTATAAAAATTGGTTTTTAAAAGTTTTTGTCAAATGTTTTATAATATACTATAGAAGAGTAAATTACAAATTTGATCCCTGTGGTTTATTGTTATATAAAATCACACTTGTGTTCCTAATTTGAAATAATTATGCAAACACTTCAATGGTCTATATTTTTACACGTCTTTGGTCCCTTTGTAGTTCGTCCTCACATTGTAGTTTGATTCGATGCGTATACAATAATTGTGACCATTGAGTTTATTAAGACCGATTTCTTGCGGTCACAATTTGCTGAGATTAGTACAGGAATAGTCTGAGACATCCTTACAAAAAAGTTACTTTTTAATTTTTAATAGTAAATAAGAAAAAAGAGCAAAATGACTAAATCGTCCCCATGAGTTGACTTACTTAACAGAATCATCTAACGGTGTTAGCGCAAAAGGTTGGTGAAAATGTAAACCAGAGAGACGTTTTTCATAATTATTCCAAATCAGAGACATATAATGTGATTTTATGTAAACCAGAGAGACGTATATTTAGGGTGTGTGTTATGAAGAAAAGATAAAAAGAAAATATAAACAAAACAAAATTGGCAAAAAAAAAAAAAACACAAAGAACCGTAAAAAGACACAAAAGACAAGATTCTAATTGACGTGAAGCGTGGCGTGGTCACGAGATCAAATCTTAAGCGTTGCATGCCATGACGAGGACATAACGTTTTTTAAGGCGTGATATAAAACGGCAAATTTGAATCTAGTATATAGAATTATATATTTACATAAATGTTTTCTATATTAATCAGATAATGACATTAAAAATGTACATTCATATTAGAAAAAGAAAAAAATTATTTTAAAAATAGTTTTTGATTAAATATTTAGAATAGAACCTATAAAAGTAATTTTACAAATTTCGTTTTAATTGTGTTCGTAACTTCGTGAAACTATGAGTGATGCGATTGGATAAATCTATAAAAACGTAAAATCTAAAGTTAAATGTGTAAAATTACAAATTAATTTTTTTAAGGGGGTGTTTAGTTAGAGGTGTTAATCAATAATCAATGAGAATGATAATAAAAAAATTGTTTGGTTTTATCTATATATATTATAAAGCGTTTGATAAAATTATTAAAAACTATTTTTTAATTTTTTATGCATAAAGTACTGCTTATTGATGCATACTACTTAAATTTTAAGATCACAAGTAAATTCTACATAAGTATAACTTATTAAAGCTTCATTTTTGAATTGTGTAATAGATAAATCAAATACGAGATAGACATCTCATTTTGAATATAAAAAATCTAACATATAATTAGGTAATCATTAGCTATAATAAAATACTTAATTATTATATTTATAAAAAACTATATTATTAAATGATAAATAAATTACTTTGTGAAGTCTAAATTAAATTATAGATAAAATATTTAATTAAAGAAATTACACAAAAAACGAAAATTTTAAATAGTAAACTTGATACTAATATCGATATATATTTTTTTCTAATTTTTTATAATATCTTTAAATTTATATCTTATTCAAAAATAAAAACATTTTTGCTTTCTTAAAACCATTAAATACCATATTATATCGACATAAATAAATAATAAAACGAAACATTAAAATTGAGATATATCTCGCTATATTATGCGATCACCCTTCTAGTATAATATAACGAGTTCATTCCCCAAGAAGCCCAAATTTTCATTCCAAGTTAAAAGGGGGAATGAAAAGTCATTTCCATTTTCATTCCTTGTTCCATTCTCTAACCTGAACCAAATAGCCCTTAAAAATATTTTCTTTTTGAAAAAAATCACATCTTATAAAAAATGCATGCTGCGGCATGAGTCACGCCTTACAAAAACGTTGTGGGTCATTTCGTAACAGCGGAGACGTGTCTTGCCCCATATCGCGCCATGCCGCGCCTTTTTGAACATTGTCAAGGTTCAAAATGGCGTGAGACTTGTCGTGGCAACAAGGTCAAGCCTCAAGCCTTACACGCCACAGCGATGACACAACGTTTTTCAAGGCGTGAGATAAGGCAACAAATTTGTATGTTATATATACAATTATGCATATACATATTTGTTTTCTATATATTATTCTAATGAGATAATGATATTAAAAGAAGAAAAATCATATAAATTGTTATTATAAAATAGTTTTTGATTGAATATTTAAAATAAAACATAGAAATGTAATTTTACAACTTCATTTTAATCGTAAGTCCATAACGTTTATGAATTTCACGAAGTTGTGAATGATGTGATTAGATAAATATATAACAGTGTAAAATATAAAGTTAAAAGTATAAAAACATCGAAAATAAAGTAATAATAATATTTTTTGTGAAAAAAAACTCACATATGCGCTTTAAGGCGTCATAGCGTGAGATACGCCTTATAGAATCACCATTAGACATTTCGTAACAGTAGAGACGTGTCTTGCATCGTATCACGTCATGGCGCATGCCATGTGCTCGATGGTGTGCCTTTTTGAACACACTCTCTCTCTTACACACACACACACACGTCATACCATGTCTGATGAGCTTGTTTGAGATTATATAGAGCTTCATCAACTTTGTATACGTGTCTAGGATTTATTGGGTCTTCAAATCCTGGAGGTTGCTTCATATATATATACTTCTTCTGATAATTTTCCATTCAGATTGGCAGTTCTAAAATTCGAGTTGTCAGTCATGAAATCCGATTATAAGAACTCAGCTTGGATAACAATACTTATTATTAGATCCAGAAGAATTCTATACTTCCGATATAACTAATTCAATGTCGAGAATAAAAATTATTCTAAGTGTTGAATCAGATGTTTCGTATTATTATTAAATTCGATGGTTGAGACGAATGGATAAAACACACTGCAACTGGTTCGACTTTGAAATATGATCATTCGGTTTTCAATTTGGTTCACAGCCTGATTTATACTAAACCAGTTCTAATTTAAAACCGGATCGATTTAGATCGATCTTACTATGATATTCTTTATTTTGTTTCAGTTTGGTCCGGTCTGGTTCAATCAAACGCGATGAACAATTGTTGCATACATGGTCTGTATTATAAAAAATTGTAAAAATTTATTCATTTTTCAGAAGAATTACAACTTTTCATAACCTTAGGGACTAATTTGTAAATTAATATTTGCAGGAGTCCCTCTTGTGATTTCAAAATTTTCAATTCAGCCCCTCAATTCCATATATCTCTAAATCACCAGTTGACTCGTACAATTAAATGACCTAAAATCTACTCCGTTCGAAACGAAGATCCTTTCTTTCTCCATTCATATTGCTGCTACTCAACAATGGTGAGAGAGAAAGACAGTCACAGAGAATTTTAGGGTTTTCTTCTTCGCTTTACAGGTATTCATCATTCTTCGTTCTTTTTGATTAGGGTTTCTATTTTCATTCAGTCTTTCAAAGTTATTATTATTTTTCCTTTTCTTGAATTTGGTATGGTCTTGTTACTGAAAAGCCCTCTTTCTGATATCTATCATTGAGGAAGAATGTAAATTGACAGGGGATCTTGTGAATTGTGATTAGGCATTGTTTTTGTTCGTTAAGCTATGTGTAAACTGAAGTGACTGGTGTTTGTTTTATGTGTCTTTTAAATTTTGTGATTTACTCGACCTTCTTTATTCAGAATGGGGAATTAATTGATGCTAATTCAGTTTTCAGTAGTACGCAAGTATTAGGCATGTGAATGATTCAGTTGCTATCTTCTTGTATGCAAGTGCGATTATGGTATCCGGCTTGAAGTTTGGTGGTAATTCCTTATGAGGTCATGCTATCGAATGCATCTTTTCCCTTTGCCATTTCAAGAAAAGAAGTTGCTCCCTTCTAGTATGCAAGTGCTTAACCTGAATAGCATCCCACTTGCCATCAGATGGTAGCCTTGTGAGGTCATGCAATGGAATCGACTTTTCCCATTTGTCGTTTCAAGAAATAAAGTTGCTGCCTTCTAGTTGTCGGCTCTGTGTTGTCCTCCAAAGATCATCAAACGCAACTTGGTATGAAGTTGTAACTCCTGAAAACAATTGGCCAAGCGTGCATAATAGGATATTTATTCTCATTCCTTCAGGTTTATATATATATATATATATATATATATATGTATATGTATATATCCTTTTGTCTTTTTAGGTTTTTATAATAGCATAATTTATGTGCCAGCAGGCAAATAGTAGGGTGAGCATGTATTACACTACGACTAGGAAAAGCCTTTATAGCTTAAGAGAATTGCAAGGTAACTTGTAGTAAGCATTGAAGCCACAGGAGTTGGGAAAAGATTTTGAGGATTTTGGTATCTCTCTTTTAGATCGGGTTTCTTCATTAAGTTCTCCTAGACTTCCTTTGCTATCTCATTTGATCTACTCCTAAGTTGTTCTATCCTGTTTTCATTTCTTCCATTGGCCATTGTGTGAGTGTGTGTGTTTTTTTTAATCATTTTGCATTACCTTAAATTTCATTCAACAAAGTTTTCCTCTTATTTTTATGTACATTTTGGTTTTTAATTTTTACATTGGTTCTTATGCTTGGCCATCATAAGTAGTTTTTTTTTTCTACTTTGATTCTTGTGCTTGGCCATCATAAGTAGTTGTTCTATCATAAACAAGTAGGTCGTGCAGAAATCTTAAAGATACTCTTAGAAATTTGATATGATTTTGGATGTGTCACCAAGGTATCCAATTTTAGCCTTCTTAAGTTTATACCATTTGATATTTAGTGTTTCTTATTTCTTAACCATGCATATCAATAGACACCTGCATCCCAATAACGTGCAGTCTGCATAAAGTAGCAGGCTTAGAAAAGCTGCTTTCAAGTATTGAAGGTGGAACCTAGCCTGCCACTCAATGTTGTTTTGTGCAGGGGTGTCTGTTTCTCTTCCTAGAAAGCATATATGGTATACAGAGTGCTTTAATGTTAAGTTGACACTCTTTTTGTCATGAATTGGAACCTTTATGAAAGAGGGTGTTCCTTACCTTCTTTTAGTGGCGAAGCTATAGTTAGATACATAGACCTGGAAAGAATTGTTTTTGATGGATGCTTGATCTATATTTGATATAGTATTCTATAAAGAATTGTTTTTGATGGATCCGATACCTGTGATCTTTGTTCGGGTGTATAGTAGGAATTCGGTTTCTTAGTCGACAAATTCTTGGGTTTTATAGTAGCCATGTTTGGCCGGTAATGAAGGTTGCCTCACTTGATTTGCAGCTTTCATAGTTCATAAATGTCTTTAATCATTAGAATATTTGGTATGATTGGATTAGTATAGCTGTAAATTGTGTTATTTTATCATATTTTATCGTACATTCCATCAAAGTTTTGATCTTTCTAGTGGTTGTTGAGTGCGAAATTTTATAATTAATGCAACAAATAATATACACCTAAAGAAATTATCTATTTGAATTCTTAATTGATGTTCATTTTAGCTTTATATGTAAATCTAGGCACCTTGTATATCACAATCATGTGATATGTTCTTGATTCTTTTTTCTTTTGTGATCTTTACATGTGTAGATGGCTGCCTTTTCTGGTCCACATGATATTGTCTTCCAAAGTCGTGTCTTCGTCTTGTGCTGCCATATATCCAAATAAAGGAAGTCTTGTTGCTTGTGTTATGGCCAACCTTTCTTGATCCCAAGCAACACATAGACGTGCTTTCCCCTCGAAATCCAACTATCTTGTCATGCAAACCACTCTTCAACATCATTGAACTATCGTCTTAGGCATTTGCTGCTTTCCAAGTGATCTTCCTTGTGATATTGGTTAAATCGACGCCTATAGTGGATTTCTCTTCAAAGCAATCACAACAAACTTTGACAACATTGAGAGCCGTACACTTTCTTGTGCCAAATTGGGAAATAAAGTATGAAGTTAATGGTGAATGCCATAGAAGTTGTGAGGCAACATGTCTTCAGATTGTTGTAATGAACACTCGAAGCTTTGAAATCTAAACTAACTTTTTCACATCGTCGAGGTTGATGGCATGACACATTAAACAAGTCGCTTCCATTGACTAATTGTCATTGATTGATATTATTATGTGATTGTTGGGGCTTAACTTCTTTCACATCTTTAACACATCATATGCATGTATGTGTTGGACATTGAAGAGAAAAATGTATTTGTCTTGGAGTTGTTTTGGGTTTTATAGGTTAGGGAATTGCTGTCAACTTTGGGTTGATATTGAAACATTAGTTAGCATCAACATCATGTCATCAACATGCATAGTTTTCGACAAAGATCCAAAGAAAGGTTTGCACATAACATTAATTGTTGGAGATATGATCAGTATTCACATATGTGATATTTATAGCTGGTATTGAGAAGGAGCAATGGGCCACTTGCGGGATGTGCCGACCGCATTGCATTTTTGTGGGAAAAATTGAATGTTTTAACTAACCTTCTTCTTTTTCTAGGATAAATTGTGAGTTCAAAAGGAATTAATGTGGATGATCACAAGGTGAAAGCCATTAGAGACTAGCCCTCCTTGAGGACGGTGATTGTAGTTTGTAGCTTTCTGGGGTTGGCAACCTTCTGTCAATGATTGTTGAGAATTTAAGTAGCATTGTAACACTAATAACGGGTTGCTTGAAGAAGGGTGAGTTCAAGTGGATAGTCGAGGCACACAGAAGAGCTTGAACCTCATCAAAGAGAAGTTGACAACGACAACCATTATCTCTACTTAACTTCGATAAGGTATTTGAATTTAAGTGTGATGCTTGTGGGACAAGAATTCGAGTTGTATCATCACAACGAGGGCAAAGGCAAGCTTGTGCCTACCATAGTGAAAAGTTGAACGAGGCGAGACAAAAGTAGTCTACATATGATATGGAGTTATATGCAGTTATACAAGCCTAGATGATGGGGGCACTACTAGATTCAATAGAAGTTTGTGATCTACTCCGATCACCAAGCTTTCAAACATTTTCAGATATAGAAGTACTATGTGCAAGATGTGCAAATATCCTAGAGATATCATCTATGTTTTTAAGCACAAATCCAGGGACTCCAGTAAGGTAGTTGATGCACTAAAGAACTACTACCCTCGTTGTGGCCATGAACAATGAGGGTCATTATATTTGATGTTCTAAAAGAACTTTATGACGTGGATATGGGAAGAAATCGCTATCGAACAACATAGGGGAGAGTTTCTACTACTGGGTGGCTTGGGGGAGAGAAAAGGTGTTTTTGGCCGCAACTGAATTGAGGCATGCCGAATTTCGTACAGAAGTGCAGAGCTTGCCAGGAAGTTTTTATTTAATACATATAATATGTTAAGGTATGCCATGGATATACATATATATATATATATATATATATATCTATGCTGTTAATATCGCGATATATCGTCAATATATCGGCGATATATCGGATATCGCTCCTAGAGAAAATATCGGTCCATAAATATCGGTCAAAATATCGTCCCCGATATTATCGGCGATATTTTCCGATTTTTCCCCATTTTTAGCGATATTTTGATGCAAATATCGGACCGATATATTGATTTTTTAGGGTTTAAATCTTTGGGCTTTTGTTACTTCATGAGCCTAGTTTTTTGGGCTTGATAACTTAAATTAGGTCTGAAATTGATCTGCCTCCACAACGGTCTTCTTCTTTCTTTTATATTAGCTCGTTTTTGAACACTTTAGATGATGTGATGTTTTAATTTTGAAACTATATTTCTAAACTCTAATTAATGCATATTATATATATTATTCTAAGAAATATTATGTTAACCGCTATTTTGGACCGATATATCACCGATATATCGAATATCGGTCCTGACCGATATTTCGTATTCTGACCGATATAACAACATAGATATATATACTATAATATAAAATCTAATTATTATATGAACCACTAATTTTGGTCCGCTATACAACCACTTTTACCATTGCTGTAACCGTTGTTTCAAATCACAGTCTTGCCTAAAATCACAGTCTTGCCTATGATTTCGTATTTTTGATCGTTGTAACAACATAACCACTAAGGCAACCGGTCTATTTAGTAGAACTACTAGAGAAGGCTAACAACACCGCCAACAAGCTTGTAGAAGACATGCAGAACACACACGAAGAATTCAAGGAGAAGATGCCAAAGCCAATGCCAAGTACGGAGCAACAACAAATAATCATTAGGGGCTCAAGATATTCGAGGTTGGAGATGATGCCATGGTCTACCTAGGAAAATAGCGATTTTTGGTGGGAACATATAGCAAGGTAAATCGGAGGAAGTATGGCCCATTCAAGACACTTTGAAAGATTAATGACAATGTCTATGTCCTTGATCTACTGAACACCATGTCCATCATGAAGACCATCAACGTAGCTGATATCTACAACAAGTACAACCTGTCGATGTTGGATGAAACTGCCTACCCTGAGAACTCGAGGTTGAGTTCTTCTCAATTGAGGAGGAATGACACAGAGTGAATCGAGGAACTAGCGGATGTTTTCATGGAACAATGGGAGAAAGGAAAATGATCTTGAAGGAAGCCCAACTTAAAACGGGCATAACTTCAATCTGTTGGGAGTTACAGAGTCAATTAGATATGCACGGAAAGCTCGTTACCGGCCATATGTAATGACGAACGCTTATGGTAGTTTGGCCAACATTCAACCCAAGATCCTTCACCTGGGGCCCTAGATTCAAGTTTGAAGATCTTTGCATGATTTTCGGTTTTTAGATCCCACCTGAATGTGGGGTATGAGGGTATGCATTCGGGTATGAGGGTATGATGTACTACATGACCTCTACCCTTTGACCTCCGGCTTGTGAAAGGATGTTGATCTATATTCATTATCTTTCTTGGCTTGATCTAGGGGTAAGCGGATCACATTTTTCTTCACGTCACAACAAGTTGTCCATACTCAAGCTACTTGGGCTTATTGGTATAATTTGGAATCCATCTGTTGGTACAACTACACTAGTTAGTAAGAACTAACCCAAGCCATGAAGAAGGCTTATGCAGTTCTTGTTTAAGCCTTAAGGAAACTCTAGAATTTCAGTCAAAGGGACATGCTGTTTACAAGCTGTAGTTAAAGCACTTCACTGTTTAAAAGAACTCTTCACCTTCTGTTAGGTTCCCGTTTCAATTTGTTGGAAAAGAACGCAGATAGCATAAGATCGTGATAATTTTCTTTCTTTCTACCAGAGCCTTGTTGGCTTCTTTTTTAATAGATCATCTAGCCAAATAGCTGCATATCTCAGTGATGTAGATGTAGATAACTGAGTACTTTTTTCTTGTTCTAATTCAAGCTTCCTTATTCTGCCTTAAGTTTTCTTCTGTCCTATTTTTGATTGCTGAAAACTGAGTTTATAGAATGAATTTTGCTAGGTATGTGTTTTCATTTTTCCCCAGTGTTGTATTTTGATGACATGTGGATTCTCTTCTTTTCTCAGTAAATGCATCGGTTTCAAAAAGTTGTGGATTCTGAGTTATGTTTTAATGGATTAAGCTTCTTATCGCAGCGATTTCCCCTCAAGATAGCAAATATCATGTCCAATTATCAGAGCACGAGCCCACCTTTTGGGTTATTTATGTCCCGGTTTATTTTCATTCATTTTTCCCACCAGTTGTTAAAAAAAAGACTCCCGGCGATCTTTGTATAACTTCAGTCTCTTCTCTATCCCGAAGTAACTCCCACCCTCAGGCTCATCCTAAGCTCTAAAGCCGGTTATCACTTATCACCACCTTCCATCATCACAGACGTGTGTGGGTCGAGAACCTGCCACAACCACCATGATCTACCTGGCAAATAAAGACTAGGCCTTGGGGTTCCTCCCAGAAGTCGCCACTTCAAGTCTCTTCACGGCCACTGGGGATTTTCCTGGCTTTTATCTTGAGGCCCCATGGTATTAGTTGAGGTGCACGTAAGCTGGCCCGAACACCCATTGTTACCAACAAATTCTCCATAGTCTCTCTTCTAACCATTCCATGACTACAAACACACACCCTCCATCTTTAATATCACTCCTTCTCACTCTTCCTTATTTCCTCCATCCCCCTTGCCATCTCCCTTGAATCCATTTCCGTCTCGTAAAGGTGTCACCAGATTGAGCTTAGGCTCCTGATTTTTACAGTCATATCGGTCGCCTTGTTGAGCAAAGCGTTTCCTGGTCTGCAGTGTAATGCCTTTGTGTGCCTTCCTAGGTGAGACAAATAAGCATGAACCCCGATCAGGTCAGCAGACGGCAGCTATATGTGTTAAGGTTCAATCCATACTTGCATCTCCACAATTTTCTGTTCCTTGTCTTGTTTACTGCTGATTCTGTTTCTGTATACTTGTCATATGTGGAACTATTACCTTTCTGTCATTTATCACTCTTGCCAAGTATTCATAGCTTTATGCTGTTGTTAGCCGTTGCTTATCTGATATTCAAATGTATATTACTCCCTCTGTCGCAAAACAAGTGTCTGTTTCTATTTTAGTGTCCTAAAACAAGTGTCCACTTTCAAATGTAAGTGCTTACTTTCCAATTCTACCCTTAATTATAAGATGGAGTCCCTCTATTATTAAGGGGAAAATTGTCATTTTGTTAATTAAAAAAGTGTAATAATTACATTCTAAAACTGTGTTCCCTTTTCATTTATTTTGGTATGGAGGGAGTATTATTTGTAGTGACATTGTTTCTTGAGAGCATGCATAAACGATCACTTCCAAATTCCAATGATGGACAGCTAAAGGGGTTTGTGCTCTATAGTTTTAATGTACTTTTTGCAACTCCAGATCATGCTGTATCTTTACTAGAGAAGGTAAAAGCTGCAGAATCTTCACTAAACGGTGGGACTATGAGTGGTAGACGTAGAAGATCTGAATCTCTATGGGACAGAAAAGAAGAGGAGGCGACTCGAACTGAGATCAGTGAAAAGGTTCCTTATTCAAGTTTTATTGGGGATGGTTCACCAAAACGGTCAAATTCAGAAGCTAATGATGCTGGTGATATTTCTGGGCAACCATCTCGAGAGCCTATGCAAGGAAATCAAAACATTTCAATGGATAATGACAACAGCAGTGGCAGGCATGGAATGAAGATGGATCCTGCTTTTGATGAATGGGAAAATCAATATAGCTCCCGCCCTTCGGACAATTCCTATGATCTGCCATTTAGGTTTGCGATTCTTTTGCACCTGTCATCTTTAATCAAATCAGAAGTTATGGCCATAACATGATCCATTTCTTATTCTAGTTACAAATGCATGCTTGTCATTTGTCAATGCTAAATAATTTAGGCTAAAAGGCTGATTATTGTTGTAATCAAGAGCAAAATGCATCAAAAGCGCAACAAAGGTTGCCTTAGTTCCTATTCAGTGTATCAACAAATTTATTTTTCTCCTTAATCAGTGTAAGGAAGTTTCAGAATTTTCTATTTGAGGTAGGAAAGTTTTAAAATTTCCTACATTTTACCCATTTTGACCGATAACCTATTGATCTTGTAACATTTTATGATGTGAATGTCAAGTTTATCATCCACTTCGCCAAAACCCTTCTGTAAACATCTTGTAATCCTTGGGCATCCACTGATACAAGATCAGCAAGTTATCGGTCAAAATGGATACGAATAGGAAATTTTGGAACTCTTTTACATCGAATGGGAATTTTTTTGCTACAGTAATTAGGGACTAAACCAAACTTTGTTGCATTTTCCCCTATGATTAATTGTGTTCATCATAATCAGAGCATTCGGAGAAAGTAGTAATGTTGTGCTTGCTATTTGATGCTATGTGCAGGAGTGGTGAGCGAGGTGTAGGTGGCACGGGGAACATGAGCAAGGATAGAGATCGTAGTAGGAGTCCACACCGAAGCAGGGGAAGGGACAGGGACAGGGACAGGGACAGGGGTAGTACAAGGGGCTTGGCCAGGAGCAGGAGCAGGAGCAGGAGTAGGAGTAGAGGCAGGGGTAGGAGCCCATTCAGTGATGAAAGACGAGAATCGTATGAATCTGGTGATTCAAGGGTATCATCTCGACCATGTAAAGATTTTTCTGCAGGAAACTGCAGAAGAGGTATTCAGTGTAGATTCCTCCACCAGGAACTTGTAGATTCTAGAGGTGGTGACTTGATGGAAAAGTACTCAGGTGGTTTACGATTCCGTGATGATAAAAATTCTGTTAGCAAGGGCTCAGATGGTTACAGGAAAGATACTGGACGGAAAAGTGGAGTAGACCATACCACTTCTTCTGGAGATGATTACCACAAAGGCAATCGGAATGCTTATGATGATCAAGATCACAGGCGGCAATCAAACCAAACTACCAGAGCCCCATGCAGGTTTTTTATTATGGGAAAATGCAACCGCACCAATTGCAAGTTTTCTCATGATGTTCCAAAATCAGGAGGCCATGAAGGAAGGTCACACGATAATAGCAGGCCGTGGAACGATCGACAGCCACAGGATCAAGTGAGTGCATCAGGATTTTCTGATTTTCCAAAATCCAGCCATGATTTTGATGACAAGAACAAGTCTTGGAGTGGTCCTTTGTGGAATGATTTGGAATCGGGAGGTTTTGATGAAATGTCTCGTGATAATATTCTGGATGACAAGAACAGAACATGGGATCCTCCAGGATGGAATGGATCTGAGAAAAATTCTGACATTTTATCTCAACCGAGGAGTGTTACTAATCATATGGATATGAATCAAGAATCCCAAATCATTCATGACAGTTCCCAGTTGCATTCGCAACATGTAATGCCAGAAACTTCAGGCAGCCAACTAACAAATGCAACTACAACTGTGATACCAGAGGTGCCTAGAATTCCTTGTTTTCAGCAGCATCAGAAGCAGGGAGAAGGCAGTGTCAGTATGATGATTGATTCTCGCAATATGGTCTCCGGACAGACCAACAAACAAATTCATTCCTATGGTTCAGACTTCGTTCCGAGTGTTCATAATATGGCTTTCCAATATCCTTCAACTTTAAACGGCACTGAAAAAAGCTCCGACATGCTTTCTCTTAGCTCTTTGAATGGACCTAAACTTCAGTCGAATGGTTCAGTTCAGGGCATGTTTTTGCATGTGGACTTACAAAAGCAGACAGATATTCAGAATAAACGAGGTGGAAAACCTCTGGAAACTTCTAAAAACGATATCCCTCAATTGGATGCAACTGTAGCAAGTAATGAGCAGGTTTCTCAAGTAAGTAGCCTCCCTGTATCATTGCCACAGATATCTCAGAACCTAAATCTGGCCAATGCCCTTGAGTTACTTTACTCTCTTCCCAATACTGCATCTTCTGGTGCCCCAGTTGACTCTATGGTAGTTCAGCAGAATCTAGATACAAAATCCAAAGAGCACTATGAGTCATCAAGAGATATGGTTGTCAATGAGTCCAACATTAGTGTACCGATGGGGATCTTGTCTAATTCAATGGAACAGGGGAATCAAGTGTCAGTGGAACAAGTTTCTTCAATTGATCCCAACCCCAGCAAATTGGTGGCAGTTGGTATGCCTGATGGGAAGCAGGAACCAGTTGGAATTCTACAAGTCAATGAGAACAGGAAGGCTGACAAAAATGAAAATACAAATCCTGGCAAATCTGAAGCACAAGGCAAAGTAGAAGAAGGCAATATCAGCAATGATGAAAAGGCCATGCGGCAGTTCAAGATCGCCCTCGTGGAATTTGTTAAAGAGATTCTGAAGCCAACATGGAAGGAAGGTAAGATGAGCAGAGAAGTTTACAAAACTATTGTAAAGAAAGTGGTTGACAAGGTTACAAGTACCATACAAGGAAATCAGATCCCAAGAACACAAGAAAAGATAGACCAATATCTGACGTTTTCTAAATCCAAAATTACCAAGCTTGTGGAGGTCAGTTGTCTGTCTTGTTCTTGTCATAATTCTTAAATTTCTATGATTTGTTGTTCTTTCTATGGCTGTCCTTTTCTCTTGGATAACCACTCACCTATATAATATTTAGCACACCTTTTAGTCAAAACCAAACCAAATCAACCCGTATATCCCAAATGGAAGTAAGGTTTGGGGGTCAGATGTATGCAGACCTTTCCTATATCTCTCAAGAGATAGAGAAGTTGTTTCTGGGAAGACCCCTGAGTTGCAAAAAAGATTTAGTAAAAAAATTTAGAAAGCATGCATAAATCACAAGCCAGGGGTCTTCACGGATATACATATCCTTTCCTTAGAAAGGGGATCTATTTGGCAAGTGTATTTATAGGGCTGTTTGGCATTTGATTATGATATGAAAATATACGCTCTTCCCACAAATATACATCCCATCTGTATTTATTCATCATATATTTAGACAACTCTGCTTTGGCCCCCATTTTCTTATGAACATTTCTCTTGTTCTTGCAGGCATATGTCGGAAGGTTTCTAAAGGCATAGCACACGCTTGTTATAAAACTCTAATGAGGTCTTAAGATAACGTAAGGTGAGTCGATAGTTTGGAAGAGTATTTGTTGAACCATGTATAGAATACGTTTGGCCGCTCGCTCTATAAAATTTATTTATTTTGTCACTATAACTCATGTTCTAATCACTTTTCGTCCATCCGTCCTGCTTTCCCACAAACATGGCGTCATATAATAAGGGTAGACTGCCCAAATCGTTGTCGGGAGATGGGAGTAGTGGGTGAAAGTGGTCGGAGAATGAGATACAGTGCCCAAATAAATACGTTTTCTAGTGCAAATGCTAAAACGTATTTTATTCGATAGTAGTTTGAACAAGAGATATGTTGTTTTTGCTGTTTTGTTAATTGGAAACAGTTAGTTGTATTGCCTTGTACTATTTAGAAGATTGTTGCTTGGAGTCTGGGATTTTCTGGTGCATTTGCTTTGCTATGTGAAAAAGCACTGCTTGAGCATGTCAACTTTTTTAAAGTGCTAAGAAACGCCTCTGTTCTTTTTATCTGCACGACCTTCTGACAGATTTAAGTACCGTATCCCAAGTAACATTAGGTTGCATCAAATATGTTTGAAGATCATGCATTGAAATTAAGATGTCAGAAGGTTATTCTCTTAAATTACCCCAAAAAAAACTTGAGTTGGAGCTTTGATATGTGTACACAAGCCATGAGACCAGGTGAGTAGCGGCGGTTAACCGTTCATTCAGAGTCGATCTTGAAAGTCTCGATTCATTTGGGGCTTAAAACAAGATTTAGAGTGAAAACTAATGTGAAACAGTGAGAACCAAAAGGCATTTACGACTAGTTTTGAAGGTAATTTGGCGTAACATTATAGCATGAATATTGTCGTTTTTTCATAATTAAGGGGCTGTTTACCAAATACAAACTGGTAAATGTTTACTTGGTAAGTAAACATCTCTAATTGGATAAGAGTCGTCAAGTAACCACCCTCACTTAGCAGGTAAGCTCCACGATTAGAAAAAATGACATAGTAATCTAGTTTGCTGGTAAAGGGTGTCATCTCTTAGGGGCCGTTTACTAAACACTTACTTAGTAAGTGCTTATCGGATAAATTTTCTTATAGGATGAACATGAGAAGGGCCAAGAGTCTTACCAGGTAAGAGTGATGAGAATGAATGGAGATTCTTACCCGGTAAGTGAGGATGGTGACTCTTATCCAGGTAAACGCTTACCCAGTAAATTGTTGCATTCGATATGTTTTGATGTACTAAATTCTTACACATCAAAATAAATGATAGTGTTAATTCATATCAATAAACGTTTACCGAGTAAACATTTGGGTAACCGGCCTCTTACCAGATAAGAGGCAATAAGTGTTTAGTTATCTGACAAGAGACAACAACTGTTAGCAAAACAACCCAATTCTCATCAGGAGCGTTTAAATTGATTGGCATGTAAACACTTAAGTTCAATCCATCCTTGGACTGAAAAACTTGGTTTCTAGTTTGACTGCATTTTGACAATGAGATGATGACGATAATCGTTTGAACTAGGGGTGTTTGTGGTGCGATTTGAGGTCAAACCATAACCCATACTATATATGCGGTTTGAGCATTTTCCCAAACTCTAAACCACACTGTATAAGCCTAAAATTGCACCGCAAAATGTGGTGTGGTGCGGGTCGGTTTGTACCTATCTCTTTTAATTATGTCTACAATCCAATATTTATAAGTTTAAAAGTACATTATAAAATCAACGATAAAGTGACCATAGTAAAAAAAACAAAGAGTTTTAATACATTCGATTCCCAAATACATATTGCATAATTAAAAACAGTCTAAGGGGCTGTTTACCAAACGCTTACTTGGGTAAGTGAACACCAAGTCACATTACCTTACCGAATGAATACGGTAAGGACCAAGAATCTTATCCGGTAAGAGCGAGACAAGGACCAAGAGTCTTATCCGGTAAGTGAAGGCGACGACTCTTACCACGGTAAGCGCTTACTGGGTAAATTGTTGCATACGATACCGTTTTGGTGGACTAAACTCTCACCCGGTAAGTAAATGATAGTGTTAAATTTAACCAGTAAACGCTTACCGGGTAAGTGTTTGATAAACGACCCCTAAGTAAAAAAGAAAAAAACTTCAAACTAAATTGAACGTGTGAGTTATGACATGTCCAACTAATTTATTAATATTGTAATTGTCATATTGGATCAAATTCAAAGTTCAAAACACAGAGTTTAAAAACATTACATAAATTATAAGTTATTCTATATATGTGTGTAATAAATAAAATTAAAAGATGTACAAAATATGCGGTGCGGTTTGAATCACGGTTTGATAACTTAAAATTGCAAATTGCACCGCACCGCATAATGTGGTTTGATAACTTAAAATTGAAAATTCTAAACTGTGTTTTACATTATAATACGATGTGAATGGTTTATGCGGTTTGAATGAAAGACCGAACTACATCAGTTCGGTCCTAGCCATAGTGTTTGAGCCTAACCTCAAATACAATAATCATTGCAGACAATATCAACATTAATTAATATATATATATATATATATATATATATATATATAGAGAGAGAGAGAGAGAGAGAGAGAGAGAGAGTGAGAGTGCATGCACTAAGTTCAAATGTTAACCCAAATTATTACGTTAAATTTATAAACCTTTTAAATCAATTACATTTTAGTATTAGGTTCTTTACTATCTAAGAATTTAATGTTAAGGGTATATGAGTAATTTTCTTTTCTTTGTAACTCCTATCGTTAATGGAAGTTACAAGATTCATAAAATCCCATGAATTTTGCATTTTTAATATTGATCTTATGATTTTTTTTTCATTTTTTAATATTGATCTTCCATTTTTAATATTTATAAATTTGTGATTGGTGGAGGAGATCCATTAGTAAAGCGTTTGTAATCTTTCAAACAATTATGGATAAAGATATTAGAAAACAACACGACTACATTGAGAAGGTTAAAATTGTTTATGGTGACAGTGAAGTTTGAGATCGGGAAGTGAAGTAAATAATCAAATCGAGTGTTTTGGTAATTATGAACACAAATTGACATGTATACACCCATATGAACACTTGTGGCAATTATGAACACAAATTGAACATATATGTAAACACTTGTGGCAATTATGAACACAAATTAAACATATATGAACACTTGTAGCAATTATAAACACAAATTGAACATATATGTGAACACTTGTGGCAATTATGAACCCAAATTGAACATATATGTGAACATTTGTGGCAATTATGAACATAAATTGAACATATATGAACACTTGTGACAATTATGTACACAATTGAACATATACGATTTCTATTGTTTGTAATCGATGTCATTGAGTGCACATTATCTTTTACATAAATATCCTTCAGCAATTGCGCACACATATGTTTGTAAGGTTACACATTTAATAAATTAAATTTATAATATGATTAATCTCAACCCTTTATTTTAAAAATCAATGGTCATGATTAGTTCATAAAGTTAATACAACAATTAAAGTTAACAAATGAACTTGCCTATATATAGGGTTGAGTTTTCGTGAGACCTGTGAGACCATTTTTTTACACTTGAAACTTCACATCAAAATGCTGCAAAGGTAAAAAAAGTCGAACCTTCACAGCAAAAACATTGTGAAGATTACTTTCACAACATTTTGCTGTGAAGTTTCAAGTATAAAAAAGTGGTCTCACGAGTCTCACGAAAACAAGTTGGTCTCAAGTGATTCCAAGTCTCTCTCTCTCTCTCTCTCTATATATATACATATATATAGGGGCCTAATCAAATGATAACTAGATAGTTTGTGATAACCGCCAGATCTAACTACAATAAATCATTTAAGATAATTAATGTTATTTATTAAAATAAAACAAAGAGTAAACTAGTAATTTTGACACCTTATAAAAGCCTTATAATGTGAATCTCTTTATCTCGTTGGCCATTTCGTAGTCACTCCATCAACACCTTCATCGATACAAGTACCTTGAACGACGGCGATGGCGGGGTTCCGACAGTTTTCGATGGAGGTCATGGCAACGGCTGTGGATGTCTGCGGCAAGTGAGGTTCGGGCTTCGAAAGCGATATTGGTGTAGAAGTTAGGGTTGCAGTCGAGGGAGAACTTTGGCAGATAAGATGACGACGACAATGTTAGGGTTGATGTCGGGGGTGAACAGGGCTGCTGTGCACCATCTCGCCATCTGATGTGCACCATTCTCGTTGGCCGTTGGCCAAGAAAGAGCCGACATCATCGTTGCAGCATCCAACATTGTCCTCAAATCAGTCACTGGCGTCGATCTTGTTTATGAAGTCTTCAACGAATCCAGATCTTCGTTTCCATCGAAATCAGATCTAAAAACTCCATATCTCTATCTCCATCAAAATAAAATCTGAAAACTATTGTTTGTATCAACTTGAGGATCCAAGCGCTTCAATTAAATTTAGATATCCAGATCAATGATTGTGGATTTGGTTTTTGAATTTTGGGGTAATCGATTAAATTTAGTTTGTGGGTTTGATTTTGATTTTAGGGTTTAGGTTGATATCATAGTTGGTATGACAATGATATCTCAATGGGTATCACATTGTGTATCTTTAGGGTTATCGATTAAATATAGGTTATGGGTTTGATTTTGTTTTTAAGGTTTGGATTGATATCATAGTGGGTATCACATTGGTATCACAGTGATACCACAATGGATATCACATTGTGTATATTTGTGATTAATTTTACTCACATTGTGTATCTTTGTAATTACTTGGTACCGGCCAAAATAATGTTCACCGGAGGTCGAAGATCCGAGGTCGGAGGTCAGAGAGAGGAGTTTTTAGAAATACCTAAAATGCCCTCTAATGATAATTTTAACTCTAATTACCAAAATTACTGGTTTCCTAATTTATCCGTTGATTTGTGGTTGAAAATGGATCTCACAGTTACCACAAACAATCGAGTTCTCCCTTGAATAACCTCATATATATATATATATATATATATATATAGAGAGAGAGAGAGAGAGAGAGAGAGAGAGAGAGAGAAAGAGAGAAAAAGAGGAACGATCAAGTACAAACCACCCATATTTGTACAAACCGTGCAAACCACCCTCATCCGTCGATTTCATTGTTTAATCTTATGAAAAAAAATTATGAAATTATTTAATCTTATGAAATTGTTTCGTATAATAACATTTTTGATGAAGTTGTTTCATATATGGTTATAAAATTGTTTCATATATGGTTATAAAATTGTTTCATATAATACTTATGAAATTTTACTGAAACTGTTTCATGTATTTTTTTTAAAATTAGTATAATGAACATGATAATATCCATGATTAACACCATGCAGAATAAAAATGATTAATCAATCTTTCATAATTACAAAAAAATGAATAAAATAAAAAATTATGATTGATTGAATAAGGTTTTGCAGAGGAGGTTTACTTTGCAAAACACGTTATTTATACAAAACTCATTCAACCAATAATAATTTTTCATTTTTTCAAATATAGTGATGGATCCATGTCTTAATTTTTTAATTAGTTTTTGAACTTTATAAAATGCATACATTCATAAATGTTTTTTACAAATTATAAAAGACAAACCCGAAAATCATATTTCTTATAGTGCCCCTCAAGTAAGACTGTAAACAAACCGAACGTTAAGCGAACTGTTCATGAATCGTTTGGCGGAAAGTTCGTTTATGTTCATTTATTTAATAAATGAACGGACATTAACAAATTTTTTTGTTCGTTTAGTTAAACGAACAAACATGAACAAGAGTCTCGTTTGTTCATTTATGTTCATGAACGTTTATTTATTTACTGTTCATTTATATTCGTTCGTTTATATTCGTTCGTTTATATTCGTTCGTTTATATTCGTTTATATGTTAAATATAATATATAATCTTTTGTTTATTTATTTTAAATTCAAATAATATTTATTCATGTTCGTTTAGCCCGTTCGTTTAGCATGTTAACAGACGAACATAAACGAACACAAACACACCCGATTTCTAAACGAACGAACACACCCGATTTCTAAACGAATCAACACGAAAACAAAGATTTGTTCGGTTAAGTTAAACGAACGAACATAAACAAGCCTTCGTTCGAGTTCGTTCGTTTTATTTACAACCCTACCCTCAAGCTGATTTTTAGAAGGGTCTAAAAATGTCTCTTTACAAAAAATACGAACCTTCTTTTACCAAGGTTGGACTGAGCCTAACTTAAAATTTGATTAGGCCCGATCCAGGTTCGATTACAGTCCTGCTCCTACATGTAACCGAACTTGTATTTAAGCCCAAACAGATTGGGCTAGCTTGGATATTTTTGGTTCAGTGTTTTTGTCGTATGAACAAAATCCATGACATGTTGAAAAAACCCCAAACGAACTATGAAGATGTGTTCAATCTGCAACCATCACACCAGATTGCTTGCTGGTTCATCATCACAAACGAATCCCTTCATCATCACCAAGTTCTCGAAAATCCCATTTTGCAGTCCATACCCATTACTATCGTATTCTGTAAACCTCATCTCAAACAAAACCCTTTGGTGTACAGTAACCGCTAAAAGGGAAGCTCGATCTCTTCTCAGTCCTTCCATTGTTGAACCCGTTTCCGAAGATGAACCTTATGAAGAATTTGTTGATGACAACGATGGTAAAATCTCTTTTCAGTATTGCAGAAACAGCAAAAATTTCCCAATTCTGTTGGGAAAACTGAATTTATTTTGCTGCCTTTGCAATTTCAAGGCTTTCCCTTTGTGAATTTATGTTGCGTTTGTGTCAAATGTGGTGTTCATATTTCTGTTCGGCTTATTTGATTTTGACCAGTTTAATGAGGGAATTTGGGTAATTAGGGTTGTATCTCTTCAGTTTCTTAATTCTCTTTGCAAAATTTGACATTACAGAGATGAATTATAGCAGCTCTATAAAATTGTCTAAAATGGGTGCACCTTTATTTACCATTGAAGTTAGAGTAAGGTGCATAATGCATCCGATTTCACATATGATATAAACTGGATCGCTTGAGAAGGGAAGTTATGGTTAGAAGCGTAAGAAAGATCTAAGCCCTTATCACTTTTAATATCATGTCCACCCATGAATTGTGTTTTAGAAGGGAATTGATCTGATGCATCAGGGTGCACCTCATTAGTGTTGACATTCAATTAGGATTGATCCAAGGGTGTAGATCTCCTCTTACCCTTTTCCCCATGACTTCTCTTCACACCGGAACCCAACTCATTTAATCTAGTCGTGTAATATCTGATTTGTTTGTTTTGGTTTAATCTAGTCATGTAACTGGATAGATGTCAAGCTATATAAGTTTTATGGATGAAGATGCTTTACGTTATTTACGAATATGTTCTTCATCTTATCTACAACAACGTTTTCTGTTTCATCATGAGGTTAAGGAATGATGGTAGTTTTAATATAAGTTTCTTAGGATGCTGTTCGGGCGTTAAAGTATTGAGACAGTTGCTCGATTCTTGAAATGTTTGAATGGTTTTGAAACGTCTTTCTTTTTGAATGTTTTTTTCATCGTATTGTGTTATATAGAGGAATTTGATGAGGATGATGCTATCCAAGACGAAGATGCAGACCCCAGAGTAAGTTGGCCGATTATTCGGGATGAATTCAGCACAACTTATAGCAAATTATACTCTATATCGAGTAGTAAGTTTAAATTTCCTTAAAAAATTATCAAGGCCGGCGATGGAGGTGGAGGAGGTGGAGTTTCTTTGGCTGGGACTACATGGGACAAAGAAGCGTTGACAATTGCTGAACAAGTTTCTATGTCTTTCGATGGAGAGCTGGGAATATATGCTTTCAAGACGTTACAGAATTCTGCCATTCGAGTGCGCATTGAGAGGCTTTCAAACAAGTAAGCCTGTAGTCCATATTCATCATGAATGTGACGAATAACTCTTACATATTCATCATGAATGTGTTAATCATGATGAATATTCATCCTGGAGAGGGATACGTGGCGTGCTGTTGGCCGTTCCCGGGTTCCTAATTTATAAATATATGAAGTTATCGTCCATCTTGGCGTAACCTTGTGGTAAATGGGTATCCATGTTATCAAATGTTACAATATCATAAACTGAAGATGTTTTGCAGGTCGGGTTCTCCCACCATGGAGGATATTGAAGCTTTCTCAAAAGCTTTCAGAGAACGACTAAATGAGGCCGAGGCTGCTGGATCCATTCCTGATGATATATCACTTGAGGTCCTTCCCTTGCTGTTTTTCCCTTTTCCCATTGCTTGAATCTTCTTATAGCAATGATACCCTCAGGGGTATTGGATGCTAAGACTTTGGATTTGCTCTCCGGAGGTCCGCGGTTCAAGTCCCATGGGCTCAGTCGAGGTGCAAGTAAGCTGGCCCGGACTCCCAATGGTTATCAAAAACTTCTTATGACAATGAGAAAAAGCTGTTCCCATGATATGATTTTGGGTCATATTTACTTGATGCCAAGGGGAAGGGATTTTTACCAAATGCTTACCGGCAAGAGTCACTACTCTCACTTACCTTATCGATTAACATTTTCGGCCATCAAAATGGATTGTTAGTAAGCGTTAATTGGGCAAGAGTCTTCTCACTTACTTACTGGATAAGATTCTCGGTCCTTGCCATGCTTACCCGGTAAATATTTGATATACAGCCCCTTATTGTCTCTTATCGAGTAAGAGACTTTTATTCGGTATAGAGATGATGGTCTTTACCCACAATCTTATCATGCTATTTTGCTAACTGAGAGTCTTACTCGGTCAGTGATAGTGGTGACTCTTACCGATAAATGCTTACCCAGTTCGTGTTGTTAAACGACCAACCCACGAACGAGATAACAAGAAAATGGTATAAACAAATGATACGTAAACATGTTTGTGTTGGTTGGATAGGTGTCTTCACCAGGACTCGAGAGGGTAATTAGGGTTCCACAAGACCTGGATAGGTTCAAAGATCGTCCAATGTATGTAAAGTACACAGTAAAGGTGGACGATGCGACATCCTCCGTTGAGCGTGACGGTATTTTGAGGTTGGAATCTTTCGATTTGGAGACGGAGTGTTGTACGTGGGGTTTAGCCGATGTTAGGGTTAATCGAGAGAAGGCGGGGAAAGGAAGACCCCTTAACAAAAAGCAAAGGGAATGGCCACTCGTCACTCATTTTGACTCTTTGCTTTTGGTCAGGATCTATGCAGATCTCTGAATATGTATTTTCTTTTTCCTTTTTTTAAGGATGTTATATGTATCTATACTATCTTATAAAACATTTGGCTAAAACTCTTAAAAACTTTTAAAATACTTAAAACTTTTAAAAACTCTTAAACCCATTCATCCCTAAACGATTTCATCTCTATCAGATTTCATCCCATATCTGAATTCGTGTAACCAACTGCAGATAAACACATCAAATACATGATAAACATCTTATTTTAAATATAAAAAATCTAAAATATAATTAGTATAATTATTAAATTTTAACAGAATACTTAATTATTATCTTTATAAAATTTATAATATTATCTATACTATCTTATAAAACATTTGGCACATTTGGCTAAAACTCTTAAAATACTTAAAACTCTTAAAAACTCTTAAACTCGTTCATCCCTAAACGATTTCATCCCTATCAGATTTCATCCCATATCTGAATTTGTGTAACTAACTGCAGATAAACACAATCAAATACAGGATAAACATCTTATTTTAAATATAAAAAATCTAAAATATAATTAGTATAATCATTAAATTTTAACAGAATACTTAATTATTATCTTTATAAAATTTATAATATTAAACTATTATTAAACTTAAATTAAATTATATATAAAAAAAATATATATTATCTATACTATATTATAAAGCATTTGGCTAAAACTCTTAAAAACTCTTAAACTCTTAAAACCGTTCATTCCTAAACAATTTCATCTCTATCTGATTTCATCCCATAACTGAA